ATATCATTTTTACATACATATATTATTTTGGAAAAACTTGTCTACTTTAACATTTTTACTTACCTGTTTTCCAAGCTGATACACTTCATAATTATGAAAATTCAATTGTAATTTAAATAATGAAACACATGGTGATGAAAGCAATAAATAATTCAAATTTGAATCTACTACATAAAATATCACATTATTTTCTATTTTACCTACTTTACACTTTACTTTGATTATTTTCTCTATATGAACTTGACTAGATATTGAAAATATTTTATCATGAGATTTCACTGAAATTTCTCTAAATTTATCACCAATTTTGTTAAAAATATTTTAACGGTAAAACGTTAATTTGCGATCCCGTATCAATAATACTGGGAATTTTTTCCTGTCCAATTTGGACATTCACTTTAAAGTAATATCATTTTTTAACTTCTCTTTTAGGAACCGTGTTATAATTAATAGCAGGTAATTGTGGATATCGAATTGGCCGATACGCATACTGTAGAGGTCGGTATTGCACTTGTTGATAATTAAAAGGTCTCACACTACGAAAACTTTGATAAGGAGTGGCTTGCACTGGTCTGGGATAATAGCACCTCGGAACAGTTTGCCTTGGAGAAACAAATTGGTAATTACTATTTCCTAGACCATCCAACGGCATCTGAACTGGAAACAGTTTCCTAGCAAGAGTAATCCAGTCTTTTTCGGTGTGTGGTGTTGTCTATTTTTTGCACTGTTAACAGCATTCTTTGAGACTCAGGAAGTCCTTCCGTAAGTGCTTCCACCATTGTGGAATCTGTTAGTTTCAAGCTGGCTCCTAATTTCAACTTATTACGAAAATAAACATCAATATTATTAAATTTCTCGTATTTTAAAGACACAAAATCACTAAAAGTAACAGATTCCGATGTTGTGAAGTATGTCTCGAAAATAGCCTTTATGTTGTCCCAGTCTTTATCTAAACAATCACGTAAATAGAGGGCTAAAGCCTCTCCTCTAATACACTCTGAGAAAACAAATTTCTTTTCCTTTTCTGGAATGTTCTTTGCGGCACATTTCTCTTCAAACAATAGAAGATATTTGTCTATTGGAAAATTTGTACTTGTGCCATCAAAAATAGGAAATTGGAATTTCATTGTATCCACAATAGCTACGGATTCTTTCTTATCAGTTGACATTTTTGCCGTTTTTGAGCGTGTTAACATTCCAATCACAAAATCTTGAATTTAAGAGTTCGCATACACATCAATTTGAACACTAAAATCAATAACTTTAGAAGCACTTGATAAAACGCATAACTTTGGAGACGAGGGAAAGTACTTAAGAATCGCCGGAAAAGAAGCAAAGCATAAGACGATCACACACTGTCCTTGACCCACTGTTGAATTTAGAAGCGCGTTAGTAAATAAATCCAGGAGCTTTTTTCCCACGTAGAGGATAAATCCTGCCGGCTAATTAATAACTGTAATGTTTTCAGTTATTCCAACACATCGTGGGCGAATGGGTGAGGCTATTCCATTACACGTTCTGGCAGATGGTTGACGAAGCTGGGATGATTGAAGTATGGAGAAAAAGAAAAATGACGACTCAGGACTTTTCACTTTTAACAGCAAGCATATCTTTATTTTAATTTATAGCAGATGACTTTTTCCAGATGAAGTTAATCAAATAACTTATTCAGTAATTGAACTATTAGATACGACTGACTTTAAACTTTAATACGTCATAACGTTCTAACAAAGAAAGAGGAGCATAGCGGAAGCGTTAGCAGGACGAAGGCGAGAAGGCATCTGTCTAGGAGAACTTATGACGCAGCATTTATATGAAAGGTTATGTAACAGAGTAGCTTCTAGAAAAATGTAGAAAAACTTATGACGCAGCATTTATATGAGGAGGTTATGTAATAGGTGTGAATGTTCTAGAAGGTAATGGTCTAAGGGGAGATGCTGAATTGCAGAAAATTAATTAAAGGATGCTGGTTCGTAAAGAGCAAAGCCATCGTATTTTTTTTTTTTTTTTATTTTACATATACATATGTGTGTATATGGTTTTGATTACTTCATTATGTGTGTAAATGCATGCATATATGCATCAGTACCTGCATATAGTTATGAAAAAATGAGAATTTAAAGATTTTATTCCTTTGACATGATATGTATATATCTATTATCTTATTATTTTATTACAGTTTAAAAATTATTGATTTGAATACTGGTTATGCTTATAAAGGCTTGTTGCTAATTATTTATTTGAAGTGTTTTGTTTTAGATTTGATTTACATAGCATTTATTTATGTGTGTTTTAGTCATGCTTCTGTTTTGAGGTGAAAAGCAGCTAATCCACTTTCTTGTACCTATGTGCACACACACACATGCACAGAAAAAACTATATAAATATAACTAAAAGAGAGAGAAGACAATTCGTGTCCATAAAAACAGCTATATTCTTTGTCGTTACTTATGTAGAGAAGGTAGAAAATAGTTCACATGAGAATATTCCACATGTAGAATAGTTTATTTATTTACAGTAAAGTGAAAAAGGAATAATCATTTCAGATTTAGTCTCTCCATGCCCTCCTCTAGATGGTGCTTTTTTCATAATCTTATTCAGTTACAGTTCCTGCATAATTTGGCCATCCGACATCTTCATCATCCCTCAGATTACAAGAGCAAACAGTGAAATTTAACATACAACATATAAAATAAAGTAAAATACTAATACTATTAACAAATAAATGAAAATATTAAATTTATGCAGATAAATGAAAATAGTATTCTATCTGGATCTTCTAATAACAGCAGCTAGAGGAATAAAAATAAATAATAGTAATCATAATCAAAGAAAGGATGGATAAGATTAAAGTCCAAGAGTGTTGATCAGTTCATATGAGGAAAGGTTTGTAAGACACTAAAGTTCAGGTAGGATGTTCTGATGAAGTCCAAGGTGTTTCATAAATTCGGCATAAGTGCTTGTTTTCATGGGTCAATCGAAGAAACCACATTTTGAAACATCATAAGTGTCATTTGGCCTGATTTTTCACAATTCTGTAGGGTCCGAAAAACTTGGGTTTTAGTTTAAGACCAGGTCCATATTTTGTACGCTTGGTTGCCGCTATGAAGCTGAAACTTACAGGGTGGTTTACATCATAGATTGTAAGTTTTACGATTTTCAGCCTGCATTTTTCAAAGTCTGTTATTTAGCTTCCTTGCGAAGATCATCACAAGTGTTGACAAAATTTGACTGGACCTCTGCACATAACAGCTCTGTAATTTTATCATGATTAGCAGATTTCATTTTAGTTTCAAAAAGGAATTTGAATGGAGTTATATTTATACTGTGTTGGTATGTTGAATTGATCACTTGCTGATCTTCACCGATGTGTGCACACCATTTTGACAGATTTTGAATCGATAATTTGAAAAGAACACAAATTATGACAGAATCAATCTCTTAATTTGTCCATTGGCACAAGGCAGTCATGTAGTAATTTGGATGTGCTGGATATTGTTGGTTGAATAATAATCTTGAAATTCTTTTGAAGTAAATGCTGAACCTTTATTAGAAATTATATTCAAAGAATTTCCAAAGACATTTTTGATTTTCCAATTTAGATATTACTTTGGCACTATCAGTAGATTTTATTGGGTGAAGCCGCACAAAATAACAGCAAATATATGCTTATAATTCTTATGAGTATTTTGGAGTGGTTCTGAATGATAAATGTGATACGTACGAAGCGGTACATCTTGTTTGGGTATAGAATGCAACAAACTTTCTTGTTTGGCACATTTACGATTAATTAGTATGCTAGGAACATAATTTGCGATATAGTTGTCAATTTTATCTTTAAGTTTAGGTATATAAAATTCTTGTTTGATGAGTTCTTCAATTCGTCTAGAAGCGAAATGTCCACGAAGATTTGCGTCCTAAATTATATCAGTTTGCACTGATTCTGGAACTCTGAGTAATTCGTTACTGTCTACAAATTTATAAAGTATTTCAGCTTTAACATAATAGTCATCAGAAGGCTTAACTTTTGACTTCTTTGATAGCTCGGATGTGACATCTTCTTCTTGAGCATTCCATATTTTCAAAATGAGGCTATCTTATATATTTATATATTGATTCTGTCATAATTTGTGTTCTTTTCAAATTATTAATTCAAAATCTGTCAAAATGGTGTGCACACGTCGGTGAAGATCAGCAAGTGATCAATTCAACGTACCAACACAGTATAAATACAACTCCATTCAAATTCCTTTTTGAAACTAAAATGAAATCTGCTAATCATGATAAAATTACAGAGCTGTTATGTGCAGAGATACAGTCAAATTTTGTCTTGAGTGATAAACATAACAGAGGATCTGCTCAGTGCATGAACATGTGTCATCTGTGTTCCAGTTTTGTGTTTTATTTTGTAGTTGATCAGTACCCAAGCATGCTATTTGTGTATTTAAGTCTTTCATGTTCATTGTCATTTTGAATGCATTAAGTCAGTCTTAATTCTGAAATGTTTTCCTAAAAGATAAACTCTAAATTTTTTTCAAAGCTTGAATTACAGCTAATACCTCAAGTTCGTAATTGGTAAATTTCTTTTCTGCATCAGGCTGTAAGAGACAATTGTAATGCACACAAGAGTTCAAGCCTTATCATCTTTAGGGAAAATTTACATGGCTCTAGAAACAAAGAATATGGTTGTCCATATGCAGTTTTTATTTATGAATTCTGAATTTTTCTCTGCCTCATCTGTTTTTTAAATAAATCTTCTGAAGAATATTATACTTTTCTATTCTATTAATCAATTCTTGACATTTTTATGGCTTACATTGTAGGTTTCTGGGAATGCAAATGATGCAAAACTTCTTTTAATTTGTGAATTTTCATCTTTTAAATAAATAAGCAATTTTGTATCATTAAATAGTGTACTCTACCGTCTTTTAACTGAACATTTGTGTTTCAGAGGTGAGTTAACAGTTATTTACATATTAACCAGCTATCAATTGTTATAGTTTGACTGCTGTGGGTTTCTTGGACCACAAGAGTTTGCTGATACTACAGATCCCATTGATGATAGCTGCTACTACATGGTGAAGTCTGATGAAGATGTATCGGTTGTACAGATGAAAACTTTGAACAGAGTGTGTATTCTTTTAAGTTAAAATATTCTTTTGGTTTTAAATATGAAGTTTTTTATTATTTGCTTTGATATTTTTTTAATTTTTATAGATAGGATGTAAAGAAAAATTAGTAGATTGGTTCTACAGTAACAAAGTTATTTGGATTGCCAGCTTAGGTGGTTTATTACTCTTACAGGTATGGAATAAATAATTAAATAGTAAATAAGTAATTTTTATTTAAATTATAATTTAAGTAATGCTGAGAATGAATCGTATTTTAATTCTATCTGCATAATTCAGTTTTTGAATATTGCTAGGAATTCAAGTAATCTACATTCTTTAATGCTATAGTTTGAGTTTGCTTAATGAATACCTTTGTGTATAAGTATGGAAGAAAAAAATATAAACTGATTCTTTTTCATTTGTGAATTTTTATTTATTTATGTATTTTTGCATAAGGAAATTATTTTAGTACTTATGAAATTTTACTAGTAATCATCATTTTTAAACAGTTGTGCTACACTGAAGTGGTTTTATAAAAACAACTGAATTTTTTTCAATAATTTATTAAAAAAATAAAAATTAATTAATGTATGCAGATTCAATAATTAATGGTAATATTTCTTTTTTATAGCATTATTTCATATATCTCGTATAACTTAACGAAATTATTTTGATATGCTTGCTTTTATTTCCAGCATACTTTCTTTTTAATAATGACTATAAATTAATAGTCTTATACTAAAGTGACTGTTTTGGTGTAGAGCATGTTTGAAGAAAGTTGCTATAAGTTTCATTCCCTTAAATATCAATCCTGGATATGTAGTTCTATTTGCAAAGTTTCCTAAAATAATAAGGTATAAAATTTTATAACTGCAATTTTGGTACTAAGTTTTAGGAATAAATATGTCTCGATATTCACTAGAGTTGGAAGCCCCTTGTCCGTCTTGAGTCCATCATTATGTTGAAACTAACTTATATTTGCTATCATTTATAGTCTGAGACTATATAAAAGTTACATGTTTGATTTCTATCATTGTCCTGAAATTTAACTCAATCTAATTCTTAGTATCTGTTATATCTTATTCTTGTAATTGACATTCACATTCTTCCTAAATTAGGATTCACATGTTACATAATGTATTTTAGAATTAACACTTTTTCTGTTTGTATTTCATTTTACAAGTATAGTTTTCCATTAGAATTTCACTATTTTATATATTTTATTTGTCAAGATTTTTTTATATATGGTTTATTTATTCTGTACATTGATCATTCCATCTGTTAATTTTTGGATTGGAATCTTTTCTTATTCTGTTACTTTATTTATTGAAAACTGACTTCGAATATATAATTTTATAGAGAACATAAATGCTTCAGCTAAAATATGGTTTTATTGCTGCAACCATCTAGAGCAGGGATGTCAAACTCATAGGTACACTTGGGCCAAACAAACAAGGTTTAACTTGCGGCGGGACCCAAAAGGCGGGCCACAAAAAAAAAAAAAAAAAAAAATTATATATTCGTAGAAACGTAGATTTATTTCGAATTATACAATAATAAACATATATATATATTTATATAGAAAAGAACAGGAAAAATTTAATGTTTACGTCCTGATACTTGACATCTCTTCTCTGCTATTATCTTTCCTATTTCGGGAAAATTTTGTTTACAGTGATAACTTTCAACGCTGACCCAAGGTGAGCATCACTAATACGGTTTCTAATAGGAGACTTATTACCTTTCATCACTGAAAATAACTGCTTGCACCAATAAGTGCTACCAAACATGGAAATAATTTCATATGCGAATTTTCGAGTATTTTCAAACCTGGCTGGTAAATATTTGTAAAATTCAGGCACGCCCACTTCAATGAATTTTGCTTTCAAATTTGATTTGCATTGAATCTCGATCACCTCCATTTGCATATGGCTGGGTACTGAGTCAATACTTATTGAGAAAATCAAAGAAAAACAAAAAAAAAAAAAGAAAACAAAAAAAAAAAAAAAAATTGTCTTCGAGGGAACTAAAATCATTAAACCTCATTTCAAATTCAGTTGTTAAATTTGCAATTTTTTCTGCGTATTTTTAATACGAACAAGTATCATCTAAACTTCATTTGTTCATGCTGCACGTCGGGAAGTGCGTCAAATCTTCATTTTTAAGTTGTTTTTCCCAAAGAACTAGTTGACATTTGAATGCTTTAATTATGTCAAACATGTTCGTGATGATATGATCTTTTCCTTGTAACGATAAATTTAAATCGGTTAAGTGTTTGGTTATATCAAGCAAGAAAGATAAATCTTGTATCCATATTGGATCGTAAAACAAACTTACGTCGTGATTTTTCGTTTTTAAAAACTGACATATTTCTTCTTTCAAATCCGAGAATTGTTCGAGAATCTTGGAGCAAGATAACCAACGAACCTCGGTATGGTAAGACAAACCCTATCTAACTCACTTAAGAAAGCAGTGAATTGATGCTGATTTAAACCTCGAGATCTTATAAAATTTATAACTTTTTTTATATATGACAAAACATTCTCCATATTTATTACTTTCGTGCATAGAACTTCTTGATATATAATACAATGCATATGATGAATGTTTGAACCGTGAATTTCACTAAGTTTTTTTCTTAGTAATGCTACGAAGCCCTGTTTTTCCCGGTCATTGATGGAGCGCCATCTGTAGCTACAGAATTTAATTTTGCCAAAGGTAGATTGTATTTCTGCAGAAGTCCAAAAACACAAATAAATATATCTTCTCCTGTGGTAGTACCAGGCATTGGTATTAGTTCCAGTAATTCCTCAAAAATGTTAAAATTCTTGTCACAAGAACGAAGAAACACTGCTAATTGAGCTTTGCCACTAATGTCCATGCTCTTGTCACAGGCAATGGAGAAACTTTCGAAACTAGATGATTTTACTTTAATTTGATCACTTAAATTCGCGGATAAATCAGTAACTCTTTCCGCAACTGTATTTCGAGACAATGAAATTGATTGAAAAGCCTTCACATTTCCAGGACAAACAATTTCTCCAGCTTTCATTAGGCATTCCTTGATGAAATCACCGTCAGTAAAAGGCTTCGAATGTTTAGCTATCAACTCAGACAAGACGTAGCTTGCATGTACCGCCACTTCACTTTCTTGCAATACTTTACTAAACATGGACTTTGCTTTTTCACTCCTAACTTGAGCTCTTTTCAACTTTCTTCTCTCATTAATCCTTCGTAATTGTTATATTTCGATTTGTGCTGTTTGTAATGACGTTTAATATTATATAACTTTGGTACATTAATAGTATTATTACATATCAAGCAGATTATTTTATCTTTTATTTCACAGCAAAAATATTCTAATTCCCATTTTACTTGGCATATTCTATGTTCGTCAGCGATTTTTCGTTTAATTTTACTACCATTTGGTTTTGATATAGACACAAATACAAAGGGCTAGAATAAACACGGTTAACGTTAAAAAGTTAACAAAAATTTATTCTTTCCACAAGAGATAAATCAAAATGCTGAAATATTTCTTCAAAAATATTCTAACAATATCACAAAATGTCAAACGTTTAGCAAAAATCAATTCAAACAGAGAAACTAATTCTATCTCACAGCGAAATCGCTACAAATCAATCACAGCATTAAGTAAACAAACAGTTCACTAGAACTACAGCTACTACTGAGATGAGTTGTTTGTTCTCGGCTTTTATAAGCTTTATAATTAATTTCATCTACTGGAGAAGAGAGCCACTTGCATGTCCTCATGAAGTCTTGTCAGTTTCTCTAGGATAAGGCCACACTTTTATAAAATTCACTCTCCTGAACTGATCTCAGCTGTCTTTTAGAATTCACTTGACTAAGAGACTTGACCTACACTCTGTTGTAGAATCCACTCAGCTAATGGACTTGAAAGGACTGATCTCCTCTCATGTTACTGACAGCCTACCTATTCTGCTTAACTCGGCTCTGAACTGTGCTGGAATCCAGTGGTAGTTGCCACCACTGGAAAGGTATATGCAAATTTCGCCGGTATTTGACTAGCAATGGTCACTTTAAGTGGTAGCGTGGTAAGCACAAACTAATTATTTACGCACTTTTGGGGCTAGATTCAATTCCCAAGTAAGGTTTTTGTAATTTAAATGCACTTAAATTATTTCAGACTAAATCTCTGAAATGATGCCCTAAACAATATAGTTAGTGATGCTCGCTGCTGTCTCTTTTGGGCCTGAGTTTGAATCTCTGAAGGCTTGGATATTTGAATGTGTATAAAGCAAGAATAGCCATACTGTGGCTCACAAGTCGCATGAGGCTCTTTGACTTCTTGACTGTGACTCATTTGCAACAAACAGTAGTTTTATACCTGAAATACTGTTGAATTTTGAAACAGACATAGTGCAATGTCATGCTTTTTTGTCAATTAATAATTTAATTTCTTTAATAATCAGAATAGCAGGCAAAATAGTAAATCATACAGTTCTTGCGAATAGCAATGTTATTTTAGAGCAGGAAATATATAAATACAAAGATCATTTAGGAAAAAAAGTGCTTTGTAATTTTTTTCTCTTGGATTTTATTTTAGTTCAAGTAGTTTCTCATTGCTTAGTTAGTACCTTTGTAAGGTACTGCTTTTTTTAATAATTTTTAAATGGCTTGGGCAGTCATCGAAGGAACTTTTCATGAACATTTCTTTTCAATATTTTCTTTCTGATAGATGTGAAAGCAGATAGCTAGTATTAAAGATTTCATGCCCATAGTATGCAAAACCACTGAGGTCATAGTATCTTGAAGATATTCTAAGAAGATGAGATTTGAAACTGTTACGATTTTGGAAAAGCAGATTGGAAAACTTATTTAAAAAGCACATTTTCTCAGATTCCATGAAAATCTGTAACATGTAATTCATTGATTTTCTATAAACATTGTAGAAATGCATTTTTCTGTTGAAGTTTTTATATTCATTAAAAAGTTATGTGTGTATATACACATATATAAATATTTGAATATATAAAATATTTGAAATATTCTAATGAATTTTTTTTCAGGTGATTGTTGTTTTGTTTGCTGTTTATGTCATAAACCAAATAAAAAGAGCTAGAAGGTCAAATAATTCTTCATGTAATGATATACATTATCATACTAGACTATGACGGAGATATGCATTTTCAGGAAACAAACTGCCTAACATGTATATTTTGTTGGCTTTGCAGAACAGGATGGATACAAAATGCATATTGTTTCATTTTTTTAAAAATTGTAATACTGTGTGTTTTTCTGTCATTTTTTTTAACTAATGATGAAGTGCATATGAATGGAATTTAGATTTGTAATATATTTTTGTATATCATCATCATATCTACATGTGAGGACAATTTTTTATTTTAATATAAAAATGCTAAGCCACACTAATAAAATATCAAACAAAGTGCCAATATAAATATTAAATTATATAATTTTATAACCAAATAATTTATTATAATTGATTTTATATTTTTACTTTGAACAGTATAAATCATTTGTTGTACTTTTATGCCTTGTATTGTGTTTTAAAAGTTATGAAATCATCAACATTAAATATGCATAAAAATTAGCTTTCACATCAGTGTTATTGATGTATTTAATTTTCAGTTTGTTCTATACAAAATATAAATTAAAAATTTTATTCATATGTTTTTAGGAATGAGATAAAATTTAAATCTGTCAAAAATTATCAGAATGCGGTAGGCACACTAAGATAGATTTTTTTGGGGGGAGGGGTGAGTGGGCCATATTGAGTTTAGTTCATATTTTCATCAATAGATCACACTGCCAGTATCATACTGTGTTTTATAAGAATAAAAGAATTAAGATTATGTAGCATTTTACTCACATTTATGAGCATATTATAATAATCATAATGTAGCAATCCATGAATTCTTAATTGTATTCTTTAAAGAGTTTAAATTTGTACATTTCAACAGTATGAATAGTACAGTATTGATATTTTGAATTAAAACATATTTTAGGCCTACCACCAGAAATAAAACTGTTTCAGCCTTGTCTTCAGGTGCAAATCACAGTTGATACACTTTGTTTATTTTAAATGATTTTCCAAATTTATGAAGTGTCCTGTATGTACAGTTTTTATGTGTATTATGCTCTTCAGATTGTTAAATATTTGCTATAAGTCAGCATCAAAACAAATTGTTAAAATAATATTTACAGCATATTATATTACTTTACAATTGTAGGATATTTTATGCAGATAAATCTAAGACATTTTTTGCATGAGATTACTTATAATGCCAATAAAACAATACAGCAGTATTTCTTCTTGAAGAAAACCAGATTAGTCTTTAAAAATCAAATGATTTAATTGTGTATGAATATATTTGCATGAAATTTTAAATATATGCATTTATTACTTTTATGTGAAATTTTAAAGATGTATGTTTAATTATATTATAAATATTTTAATAACATTAAAAGATTATGACAATACTTTTTTTTTGTTACTCTGCTTGAAGTCTGAAATTAGAACCTACATTTTATTTCATAAATACTGTACATAAACTACATTTTTACAACTGTTTAAGTAATTTATAGCTTCTTTTTTGCTCAAAAATTAGATTCAGTTCTAGCGATTTTATACAAAGAATGTGAAAGTATGTCTTTCAGTTTTATGTCCTGTGATATTGTAACTGCATTTACTCTGGAAGATCTTTATATGTCTCAGTAAAAACAAACTGCAATTTTGCAGCAAATGAAATATATTAAGGTTTACTTAAGTAAGTGAATATTTGAATCTCTGTGTTTGTTGCATATTTTTATACCATTATCTGAATAATTGTCCCCTGCTCCCCCAAAAAAAGCACAAACTAATCCATTTCTGCCCGCCCTCCCGGAAAAAAAAATATATATATATAAAATTTCAAAACATTTTTGGGGAAGTGCATTTGCCTTTTATGAATGGAATATTTTATCATTTACAGTACAGAATACATCAGTTGTAACTTTAATTTTTAATGTGTAAACATATAATAATAATAAAAAGTGGCAAAAAAAGCGAAATATTTTGAGACTATATTAAGTTTCTGAAGTTGACATTATGTAGTTGTTTCAAACATCTTTTAGTAACAAATGAATTATTGTGCTTGCTACAAATGCATTATCAGTTTTTCCCACATTTGTTCTGAATGCTACAGATTTATTACTTTTGAGTACTACTTATTTTCAGAATGCTCCACAATTATTTAAATTTGTTTTGAAGAATATTTTATTTCAACATCTTCTAAAGAAAAGTGGTAAACCATTAGTGCATTTTTAAAATCAGTTTTAGAATTCTTTCCTCCATATTGAATCTCGACGATATATTATACATTTATTAGACAACATGCAGAATCATATAAAGCTTTTTCCCCTTCAAAATATTCATATAAAAATAAACAAGGAATTTAGATGGTAAAGGTTCAGGAAAGCTGGTGTTTTTTGAATAATCAAGAGTTTATTTTTATTTGTTATTTTACATAAGTATTAAATGTTCATTAACCTATGTGATCTTTTATTTTAAGTGTTCTTATTAATAAGTGTACTTAACATGAACTTTTTTATGTATAAAATGTATGTTCAGGTGTATATTTTAACTTTTACATATGGTTATACAAATTATTTGTATATAACTGACACAAGAAGCATTTAAGTGACTGAAATGCTACTGCTTTTATGTACTTTATCTTATAAATAAAGTTTTTTAAGATACAATTTTGTCCATATATTCTATATTTTCACTTTCTTTGAAAGATTTATTAAGATTCATTATCTAGCCTGTGATGTAATCATAGATGTTTTATGAACATAACTCATTTTAATCTTACTTAAGAGTAACTTCATGAAGATACACTTGAAAAAAATCACCCTTTTTGATGCAGGTAAGTAACCCAAGAGCAAATAGTCTGGTGTTTTCACTGCTTTGTGCTTTTCTGTTAAATATAACTGAATTTTATAATTGTGACTATTTTTACATTTTTTAACTAAATATTTTGGCAGGAGTATTATTCAAAGCATTTACTAAACTATAGTTTTATTGAAATCACGTCCTTATGTGAAGCTGTGCAAGTTATTTACTTTAATGCCTTCTTTAAATCTGGTACGTGGAACATGGACGTTATAAGAAATAGACAAACCCAAATGGGTTTTCTCACTCGTCTGACGCATTTCCGGCTGTCACCTTGATCATATCCGGAGGAGTAGGGACAACTTGCAGAAATTTAACAGTGGTTGCCTATTGCAACGTGTATAATTGTCAAGAAAGAGCTGGTTGTAGCACCTCATTTCACAAATTAGAATTTCTACATATTTTTATTTTTGAAACTGAGATTGATTTTTAACAATTTAGCATATTTATCAAGCATAATTAGTGTTCCAAATAATTATAAAGCTATTGCATGCTTTCAGCGCTGGATATTTTTAGCTTTTCCTATGCTGTCAGGAAATTTTTAACTACTTGTTTCAGAAAATAATATTTCAAACCTGAACTAATAAAATTTTCAAACAAGCAATTTTCTCTTGCAATTTTTATGCTTTTTATTGGTGTAAATAAGTAAAAAATACTAAAATATTTAAAAACGAATTTTTGAAAGTTTTGTTTAAAATTTTAAATTGTGCTGCATATTTAAAATTATAGATGAGTATTATAGCACAATTTCTATAAAGGAATTTTATTTCAATTATATTTCATAATACATCATAGTGATAAACACCTTTGACTCCTTAATTTTTATACATTTAATTCTAATTTTAAAATTGTATTTAGCTGTAATAATTAATTTTGCTTGTATTTTAGTGATTATTTTTTAAATTTATTTTTAGTTCTGCATAAATTTTTTTTTATTTACTGTTAATTTAATTTATTAGCTCGAAGCGGCATTTTGCGCTGTTTCACTATAAATATCCGTGTCTCCTTGCAAATTGTTGTTACCAAATATTATCGCCCTGTATTATATTTAAAGAAGTTAATTAATGAAGAATCTGCATGAATACATGTATGTTTCTTGCACTGTGACAAAAACGATGGTATCTAGAGCCACCAAATTTTGAATTATGTAATCCTCCACTCGAACATGGGCATCTGGACGGTCGAATTTCAAATATGTTTTAATCTATTTCATATTTTGTAAAACTTTAGCGAATTTTTGATTAACAAATTCAACGAGTTCAAAGCGAGCAATCGTAACACTGTACGGAAAATAACATATTTATCTCCAGTGCGGAAATTGTAAAGATACGCTATTTTCAAATGTATGTGGTTTACGGGCAAAGAACATGATATTCAATAAATATAGGTAACACATAAAACGTTAAAAAAAAAGGTTCCTTTTTGGCGTAATATAAAATATGAATGCTTCTAGATTTTATTTTATCTTTTTTCCCCTCTGAATACACTCAGAAAATTTTATGCTCTGAATTTTATGAATTACTAAAATAAATAATCCACTTTAATTTTAATAATTTAATGATGATATAATCAAATAAATAATCGTTTTGTAATGTTGTTATAGTTTTGAAAATCACTGCCTGAAAATGTTCATTAAATTAAATTTAAAAAAAAAAAAAAAAATCTTGTTTAATTTTACTTTATTTATTTCAAAGCATCACATACTAACCTTATTTAATTTTACTTTATTTTTATGCAAAATTAAGTTCATAAATTTTGTGCTTAGAGTTTTTACAGTTTTACCAAAGTAAAGATGTTTGCACGAGAATTACGCCTGAAAAAATGCGTGAAATGCAGTAAAAACTGCTTTAATGAGATATATTAAATCCTATTTGAAAAAAACTGTGACTTTCATAATCTCCTCACTATACAACGTATCACATTTAATAATTAAAAACAGTTATGTGATACAAACGCCATAGGTTTCAGTGTTCAAGTAAACCAGATTGTCCGTATTCTTTCTCGCGGACACGTCGGTGACACGCGCCCTGTTCCTAATTTGAAAAAACCGTCAAATATGTATTAAGGTGGCCACCAAAATGAGTGATTTTGGTATATAAGCTTAAAATATTTTAGTTTGAGAGCAAACAAATATTTTAGGTGATAAATAAATAAAAATAATATTGCTGTTTTTCAAATTTTTACTTCTTAATAGCAAAAGTACTTTTATCAAAAATGATAACCATTTCTGAATGAGCAACTTGTAATTTATTTCATGATTGCAGCACAGCATTTAAGTGAATAATCATATTTCTAAACTGTTTATACTAATTCGTTTTTCATTTCTTATCTGTGCAGCTGATAAACAAGTTTGTTTTGAAGTTGACTCTTCATGTTTGTGCTTTTTTATTTAAAGTAACAGATCTTTGTTTAAGATGCTTGCAATACGAAAATTAAGAAATATGTATTAAAAAGTTACTGATGGTGCTGCTGGGAGTCTACTGCAGATAAAAGTGCAAAGGTAGTATTCAGATTTTTATGAAATTGCTGAGCGAAATTTATGATGTAAAGTTTTTGTAACTTTTTTGTTAACTTTGCAAGCTCCAAATTCTATTAAAAAGAGTTAAATGATTAAGTCATAATTCAGGAATTAACCAGACATTTCTGTTTAAGTTTTGATTTATAATGTAGTTTTTCTTTTACATATACAATGTTTTCTGTATTTAAAAATATTTGACAGTATTTAAAAAATTAAGTGTATGATGAAATTATCTTCATATATTTCAGTACAAAGGCATTCCTTCATATGTCTTTTAATTCATAATTTTATTCATATAAAGATATTAGGTACACACATCTACTTTACCATATAGTTTAGTCAAAAAGCACAATACATTGTAACTTGGTAGTGGTAAGCACTAGAAATGGAATTTTTAAGTAGAAGTTTTTGTCCATTGGAAATTCCAAAGCACAAAAACTTCCATTCAATGTGTTATTCATTTGGTTTACTGCACTGCAGCCATCTTTCTTTCCAGGGCACAAGTGCATGTCTGTTTCACTGACTTCCTTTGCTCTCAGGATCGAAATGAAACAACCAGATTTCATCTCGAATGACTTCCTGAAAGCATTCTGGATAATCATAAGAGAAACTTTGCAGAAGATCGTCACATCAC